TGAAAGTGCAACGAGTGAGAAATGCTCTTACCATGACACGAGGAACGTCTTGTGTGTTTCAGAGGGACCGATATAAAATAACTTCCCATGCCTGTTGACCGAATCTCCTTTGCCGGCGTCACCGCGCTGAGACTTCCGTGAACATTGACAGAGTAGTGTCTGCGCCGTGAGTCTACGTCGTTGAGACTTCCGCTGCGTCGCCGTGTGTGCAACGGCGCCGTGGTCAGTGCGGTGGAATCATTAGCGGACGCCGAGCGCCTGCGCTGGGCTTCCAGAGCGCCCCCGTACATGGCAGCGTGCGACTTCCGAGAAGTACGGAGAAGGAGCCCTGCGGAACCAGCAGGATTCCGCTGCCACTGTCTGTGCGTCGCCGCGGCGCCCTCTCGCAGCCACGTTGACTCTGCGTTTCATAACAGTTCGGACTCGTGGATTGCTTTTAGGGCCTGTAACGCATTCATTCTCTCTCTTTCTCTCCACACCCTTCCTTCCTTACTCCTCTCCGTCCCTTTCTCATATGCACCCATATTAACACATGCATACGTTTCACAGATATTGAGACGCACCCAGGATTTTGTTGTATGTTTCTGTATCTGGGGGAGAGGGCTATAAGAATAGTGTCCAGGAAACTTGATGTTTCCTTGTACAGAGTTTTTCAATTGTTGTTAATATTAAGTGTATATATATATATATATATATATATATAGACTTAGATGTTAATATTTACAAAGTTAATACTTGATATATTTAATGACATCTGTTACTATAGAAAACTAGAAGAAGCTATGTTTTTAAATATCTATTATTACATTACCGAGATTCAGAAGGCCCGGTTTCAATTCCCAGGCCGGTCATTCTGAACAAGGTTTTCATGGTTTCTCTAGGTCATCCAGGCGAATGCTGAGATGGTTATTCTGAAAGACCACGGCTCTGAAACCGGAGTTGCTATGCTATTCGAATTCGTTAACTATGTAGTCACAAAGATAAAACGAATTATAGACATTGCGGGTTCCAGGTTGGGACCGACTAGGAAACTCGGGAGCAACGGCGTCGAGGGTAATTGCTCTTCAAAGCACGTATAATAGCTAATGACAAACCATTGGATTCAAGAGAATGCTTAAGCCCCGTAATCATCCCTTCAGAGCATGTTAATGAATATGTACTTACATGCATTCATACAAACAACCGTAGTTGTGCATATATTTTGTGCTATGAATTATATTATGTATTCCATTATCAGAATAGACATTATTATTATACGTATGTATAGTATGTATATATAAATGTATACATATGTATTACGTGCTTACCTATACATAAGTGTTTTACATTAGCTAATATTCAATGCTCTGGATTAAGTGAATAACAGGTATCGGTTTATTTTTAGTTTTCACAAAGAATCAATCGTGAGGAGTTCTGACTCTTTATCATTTTAAGCAATTTATTATTTTATACTTTCACAAACACACTTAGCAGAAAATAACATTCCAATAAAGTTAACAAAAATGTACACAAATTTGCAAAATATTTTCTGACTTTATTCACTCCGGATGGGTCCGGAATATTCACTTCGGATAATTGGAAATTTGTATGGAAATTCAAGAAAATACAACGAGTTAACTTAAATAATAATTAAGAACTCAATATTATTAACAGCAACAGGTTTGCAGGCAAGTGGAGAACGACGTCCTTTCAATGGAGTGAGAAGGTAATAAAGCTTTCCTTGGATTCCTCTGCACTTAAATAAGACAAATTGAATGTATATATTTTTCATTCGTCAAGATATTCAAAGAAATAGTAATTGCGCTTCACAACAGTAGAAGCATAATCGGTTGATTCCTACACGTGTCCACGTGATTTCAAAAATTACTGTTTAATCTCCTGTATCATGTTTTTCAGTGAATACCCTTAACTGAGCAGACTTTTTGTTTTATATATGTGCTCCGATATCTCCTCTGTAATTTTAATTTCTTTCTTGAAGTATTAAACCTTCATTAGGTACTTCTAAAATTTTATATTTGACAACGTAATTGAAATAGTAAAGAACTATTTACTCATCATGCATCATCTAACTCATTCGTTATGTGTGAAGTATTGACTCCATTTATACTGCTTTTCAGTTATTAAATAGTTTGAGGAAGTATCGGTTGGCTTACTACAAACAAGATTAGTTCCCTGTTTTATAGAGCAGCGATGCGTCACGCATCATTAACAGTCCAATATATTGCTGCGTCATGAAGTTTTCTTACCGACCATAAAAGGTACATCAGTTACGTCTACGGAGAACTCATGTGTGGATATATTGGGAACTAATTTATGCTTTCTATTCTGCGACAGTGGAATTAAAAAGTTGGCAAGGAAACTCTTTGCAATACAGTATTTAAGGGAAACTTGAATTCCCAAAAAAACATATCTTGCTTCTTGAATAAATTGTTGATAAGTTGAAAAGGTACGCCTCATTTGAAATCTTGCTACACACCATTTGTGCATCTGTACAACGGCTACGTTATTCCAGTAGAAATTTATTATGACTCTGGTTTTATCGTTACGTTTTTTTTTCAACCTGAAGCTTGATGAGAAATTTACGAGCAGCATGTCAAATTTAATGTGAAGGTACGTGGTATAATCCCGACTGTAATAACATAGATGCATGGTGCGTTGTGCAGATTGAAAATTTCATGTTGGGATAATTCTGGGAAGGTTTCATGTTACCTCTCAGAATAATTATTACTGGTTTTCTGTTGATTGACCGGACTTACGCGTTATTCAAACTACTAGGCAATTTGCACATGCCCATGCTTACTACTTGAGAATCATCTCCAAGTATACGCGTTTACAAGCTCACAGAACAGAATATTGCTTGTTTTTACTCTATTTAACATAGAAACTAATGTTGGGAAGCCTATATTTATGCTGTTGCAGCTGAAACAATCTTTTGTGCCTATACAAATAATAGATGGCAGCGGTAAATGGGCAGTGCGAAAAGATGGATATAACTAAAATGTCGTTATATTTTTTTACATTTCTTCTAAACTCTTTATTACCTCTTTATAAAAATACAAATTCCGAGCTTGAGGAATAATGAGAAAAAATTAGCTCTCAGAGTTACTATACTGCTTGAGTTTAGGAATTGTTGAGCAAAGACGGAAATGCTCAGAGCTCCATGAATATTGTGCATGAATACGTATGTTCAGCAACAGTTAAATATGTCCTACAATTAAGTAATGAATATTATTCAAATGTTGATTCAAATATTTTATTCCGAAAGCCTTAGCGAAAGAATCGATTTTACTGAGTGCGTTGGCGAATGCTAGTTTATTGTTACTTTGTAATATTTCAATACCTACGAGAATTTTAGATATCAGTGACTATAATTGATCATATCTATGACTTTCTGCGAATAATTCAAAGCATATGGAGCACCAGTACCTTGTTCAATGGGCCGCGATTGCTCCCGATCTGTGCTTTTCTGTATCATCCCAATCTATCTTTAGGACTCCGCAATTGACTGATCCCTCAACCTCATAAAGCTCAGTTTGGTCTTCGTGAAAATGCATGGGCGAATAATCGGACATTTGAACGATATTTGAATTGGATTATAAACAGAAGAATTTTTGTCTCAAAACCCGTTATCGCTACTATAAAAATGAAAGTGCTCATCTTCTAGATTTATGAACATTTAAGATGGTATGTGCGTGCGTGTTTAGTCAAACACTACCATTTATTACACCTACAGATTCACAATAACTGACTGGGAGAGATGGCTCAAGGTATACACTAATGTCACTGTAGTCCCTCTAATCGGGAGGTCCTACGTTCGAGTCCCGATGGTGGCAGGCAGGGTTATCGTCTCTAGCTTGTCAACTAGGTCGAATTCAGTCGCAGTCTGGAGGAGAATTGTTGCAGCCGGCTGCTCCAATTGGTGGTTTCCGAGATTTCTCCGATCAACACTAGTCGAATGCCGGAGCAGTATCCTAATAAACGGGACTCGGGGCCCACGAGATCTACCCTATCTCTTCATTGCCCTATCCTCGTCCCTTATACACACACACACACACACACACACTCACTTAAACTATCACTCACTACACTACTACACATGCCGGGACACTGATCGAAAGCTGAACTTGTCCCGGCTGGAGCGGTGCCTCGCTGGTGAGAGATACCTGGTTGTGGAAAACCCCGCGGTCTCGCCATACAACGGGGGAAGATCACCGGCACATCCCGAGCAAAAGTATGCACTACACTTACGGGACTATCGACCCTAGTAGTTAACGTGCTTGCAATCACTAACTACAACTGCTCGCAATTCTCGGAAGCAGATTCTCACGTGCGTTTCCTCTTGAGGGAAATCACCTGAAGATGCATTTTAATAACGTACTTTCAGGTCACTCTGACAACTGTTATTCCTGTTTTCATTCCCAGAGGATAGAAATACAGATTAACAGTTTATTAAGTAAAATTTGGTTTATGGAAAGCAAATATGATATAAGACAATATATTGAGGTAGGTGAAAATACCTATAGGACATATCTCCGATTCCTAAGCAAATAAACATTCTTGGACTAAATAAAGATGATAAATAATATTTGTAGGATACAAATCATGGAGCAATAAAGAAATTGGACTGAACGAAACGAAAATCCGGCCAAAATCTTCAACAAAACATTTCTCATGATTCGACGATGATTTGAACGGAAAAGAGTGGGTTTGAATGGACAGAAAGCACACCATACGTTCCACTTCAACCTTTGCTGAGAGATTCGAAGATGAAGACGATGCAACCATCATTAGGATAGTGTACGGAGTCTACCAGACTGGCGTCTGTCGAGAGTGGTGGCCAGAGAGACTGACCAGATGAACAGTGTGGTGGTTTGCCATTGCTATCCTCTGAAGAATGAATTTGTTTTATGAGGGTAAATGATCAAGCTGTTACGTGAATTAACATGAATGGAATAATGCTTACACTACGTAAATTGAGTAAACCACCAGTTTGAACAAGCATGCCTAACGTGAGACTTGAAACCGCGTACTTGAAACGTAGCTCCAAGCCGGTTCGCCTCCAAGGCAGGTCTTGTGGGATATGTTTAAAAATAAAAGTGCTCAGCTTGAAGCTCCGCCAGCATAAAAACGAATACCGCCATCTTCGCAATCGCGGGCAGTACAATTTTCCGGCGCGGTTCCCGCAATGGAAGGAGAGTGGGAGACTGCGCTGGTTTACAGAGCGCCCTCCGCGCGCGTCGGGCGCCGCCGCCGCCGTGGTGTTTTGCGCTGCCTGGGCGGCGGGGAACGACCTGCGGCGGGCGGGCGGGCGCATTCCAGCGGCGGCGCCGGCGACGGCCATGGGGCGTTTACGGCCTGGGCGCCGCGCGGCCCGTCGCAATAAACGCCAGCGACCCCGCGCCGCCCGCCTGGCGCCCCACCGGCACGACGCCGCGCCGAGCGCTGTCCTCGCCGGCCACGACGCCCGTGCCCTCCCTCTTGTTCGCTCGCTTGCCCACTCGGCCGCTCATTCACTTGCTCGCTTGCCTACCCGCCCACCCGCTTGCATGCCCTTCCACCCGCTTTTCTCCCCACTTGGCCATCCTCGTGCCCGTCCGCTTGTGCACACGCCCGCCCGTTTGCCCGCCCACTCATGGCCGCTCGCTTGCTCGCTTGCTTGTCCGTCCGCTTGTACGCATTTTACCCGCTAGCCCTGTGTTCCACCTCACGACCAATTGCATGCCCTTTTCCATTTACTCACTCAGCCCATCTTAATGCCCAATTTACATCCATCCGCTTGGCCGCCGTCCGCCCGCCCGGCCCGCTCGCCTACCACTACCAACTCACACCACCCACGCGCACGCTCGCTTGCCATCCACCCGCTTGCCCTTCGCCTGCTTGACCGTGGCCGCCATCTCTTGCCCCCGCCCGCTTGCCCCCCACCGCTTTGCCCACCTGCCTGCTTGCCCGCCGCTTGCAACACACATTTATACGCCCGCCAGCCCGTCAGCGAGCCTGCCCGCCAGCCCGCCCACCAGCCCGCCTGCCAGCCCGCCCGCCAGACCGTCGTCCGATTGCATATTCCGCCTGCTTATCCGTTTACATGTCCACTTGCTCATCCACTTGCCGACCGTCCGTCTGCCTACTTGCCCGCCTGCTCGCTTGTTCGCTTGTTTGTCCTCCTGCTTGACCGTCCACTTGCCGCCTTCCCTCTCACCCATCCACCTCTTGCCAAGAGAGAGGAGGTTTTAAAATTTAAAGTTTACAGGTTAGATATCACAATGCTTCCAAACACTAGAGATATTTTTGTAGGGAATCCTCTTCGTTATTTCTACTCCTTTTACCAACAAACAGTGCTCACATATGAACTTTTTTTGTGTACTTCACAGGGTTAAAAATTTATACAGAATAGTTTCACTACAACTTCGAAGAGAGAAGAGATTTGGTCATTAGAAATAAACGGAATGAGATAAATCATTCCATTTATTTTCAGTAATAGACAATTGTTCTATTATGATGAAAATAGGACAAAATGTTTTATAGCAATAATACATTTGTTGGCTCCCCACGGATTCCAGACAGGTCTGGTTTATCTTTATAACTTCGCTTGATGTATATATTACATAATTAGTTCGAGAATGAAAACGAATGAGAATGCTTCTCTACCTAGAGTGTGTGAATTACCTACTACCCGCGTCAATTCATCTCGTCGGTTTAATTTCTACTTTGTTCAGACAAAAATCCGTAGCGGAGAGAGATGAAAAAATACTGTTTGCAGTTTAATCGGTGCATAAGTGGGAATGTAATTGCAAATTAATGTTCAATGGCATTGACTGCACTTGATATTTGTCAACTTTCAAAGTTATTACTGGTTACTAACAGTTTGATTACACTGTGATAACAACAATCTCGAATCTAAGGGCAAATTTGAAAGTAAGCGGTTCTAAAATAATATGTTGTTTGTTGTATTTTTTGCTTGGATTAACGAAAAAAAAATCAAAATTTAATTAATTGTTCAAATGTTGTAGGTGACGAGTCTAGACTTTACAGAGCCATTTTCAAAGCTATTTTATTTAATGTGATAAGTGTTTTAATATAATGTAAATTAATCTTTTTTGCTTGAAAGCTTTATATTCAAATCTGAGTACTTGTGCCGGTATGCAGTTCCAAAGCACATGATACTTCAAAACATTCTCTTTTCAGTATATCATTCCGTCCTATTTTGTTTCTTGAGATTCATATTTTAAGGAACCTACATTTGACAAAAATATTTTGTTATTAATTTGTAAATCTATTTAGAGAGAAAGAAGCGAAAAACTAATTGAGACCTGAGCAAACTCCCACCTTAGTGTTGCCCTATATCGATAGCCGACCAATAAATGATACGGTAAGATCGTAATTTCGGTCTTGATCTACAACTATGCCCCAAAAATCATTACAATAGGGTACATTGTGTGGGAAGAGTTAGCGTTCTAAAATCGGTACTTTAAATTTTTAGCAAATAATATTTCATGATTCAGCCATTGTTATATTAATCACAACTAAATTGTTACATTAGTCACAACTTATTGCATTCAACACGTGATTGAAGGGGTGTCTGGCAGTTTCTGATGTAGGAACCTGTCGTATCTGAATAGGTCACAGGTGGGCCAGCAGCCTCCCCCCTGTGAAGAAGAGAGACAGCGGCGGGGTGCATAGAACGGTGCGTCTTATGACGCAGGACAAAGATGGTAGGTCAGCTCTCCCGCTACGCGGAAATAATTCAAAGCGCCAGAGAAAAGGCGCAGGGCAGAGCACTTCTGATTCTGCGTGCATGCAACTTGTAATTAGTATTTTACCACTTGTGTCGGGTATTTGGTTTCGCTCCTGGATTATGGTTCAACTTACTATGTTTTTTGGATTTGATTATTGACGTTGATTAAAAGTTGGCTGTCTTATCTGAACGGAGGTCCCCAGTCGCTTCAGATTTGCACTCAAGACGGCCGCAATGCGACCGAATGGGCTTTCCGCGAAAATAAAAACGTTCGGCAAAACAACGCTTCAAATATATTATTATGATGCAAATGTCTTCAATTCCACGCCACTTCCTACCAGTAGATAAAAAGTACGCTTTTTTTAAAAACTGGCATTGCGCACGGAATTGGAATAAACGTATAATTAACCTGGTTTTATGATCACTTATTTCAACAACCTTTCTTCCAAGACGTTCACCAAGGGGTCTCTCGACTGCCGGAGCGCTCTGCGCGGCCACGCAATCACCATCACCGTCACCAGCGACGCCGTCACCGCCAGCCCGGCCTGGAAGAGGAGCACGCGTCGACGCCGCGAGCGCTCGCCGACGCCGACGCCGTAAACATGTAGGGGAGGCGGCGGGCTACGAACCCGGGTCGGCGGCGGCGCGCACGCCATCCTGTGCTGCAACGAGCGTCTCTGCAGAGACACTTCAACGAACCCTCATCAAGCAAGGAATTGGAAACCTTCGACAACATTGCCATTCCACTATGTTAGTGGTTGCTTGTGAATGGTCCCAGTGAATCCTCTCAAGTGTAACTAATAAATATTGTCCTCTTTGTTTGTTTTAGGCTTATTTTTATACTTTCATTGGGACAATAAATTATTAAATAAAATTGTGTAAAGCTAAAATTCGAAAACAAAATGTATTCCGTTTCTTGTGGCAACTACTATTTCTGTTTTACTTTCTCACCTCACGAATTTCTTTGTAAGAAGAGAAAGTTATGTAATCATGCGGAAGAAAACGGCAAATTTTCGCCATAAAAACTCTTACTGTGAACACCAAAGTGGTTAAATTTTTAAGATGTTTGTTTTGAAGTGAACTTGCTAAATATAAAACTCATAGATATGGACGATTTATGGTTTAAAATATATATCTGTAAATTATATACTTAAATCAATGTTATACGAAAAACTCACGCGTTTTCTGTACATGGGTCATGTGCTCACGCAAACCGTTTGGTAGATGGTATAATTATGAATAGCATCTATAAATAATTTTCTTGCGTAAAATCATGTATATTATTTTAAGAAAATAGATTCAAGTGTTCACAGGGAGAAATTGATATACAACAAAGTAAAAATATACTGGTATTCGTTTTCTGACTGAATTTTCATGTAATGTAATTATAGAATATTTTATGTTTTTTTTAAATCATCTTCACTGTGAACTTTCTTGAAACAGTCTTATTGTGATCAGCATAAAACTGATGAAACAACACAACTTGAGGGAAACGACGGAAACAGTTGAGAGTACGCTTCACTTCTTCAACTCGAATCATCTTTTCCGAACCCTTAATAGACCGTACAATTAATAGTGAATGAATAAGCAAAAAACCTTTCTGACAGAAGGCACATATGTTGCAGGTACCATTTGTTGACATGAAATGCGCAAATTTGTGTGGCCGGGAGCAATGACCTGAACAAAACTTCACTTCTACTCTCTCTCTCTCTCTCTCTCTCTCTCTCGCTCGCTCTCTCGCTCCCTCTCTCTCTCGCTCTCTCTCTCTCTCTCTCTCTCTCTCGCTTTCTCTCTAACACACACTTTCTTCTTTGGTTCTTGCTTTTTTCTCTCTCTTTCTTCTCTGATGTTACGGATTTGTTTCTCTTTCTCCAATAAATTTTCTATTAAGGAAATTGAAAATCCAGTAATTAAATATATTGATAATTAATTGATTACCTTGTTTTGAAAACCCGTTTTTCTTTTCGCTTTTTTCCGTCATTTCAGTCGAAATGTGTACAATTCATTTCAACCCCTTTTATCTTGCATATTAATTTTGCATTTATTTTCATATAATTTCAAAATTTCGTCAAGTGAATATCTAGACTTTAAAGCTTCACTAACGGGTTTGGCGGGCAAAGATACTTAAAACTACACAGTGTGAAAAAATACTTTAAAATTATCCTTTGACTAATAAATATTTAATGTAAATTTAATTACGAAAGATTGGTTTGTAGCTTGATGTATTCAGTAAATCAGTTTATGCATTTGATTTTTTGAAATTTTTGCCTGTTAGATTTATTTTCCATTTCAGCGCATTACAGTAGCAATCGCCATCTGCTACGAATTGCGAAAAGATGACTATCGCCTTCCGAGGGCAACGGACCCGCCTCACTCGCTTCCTGGTCTCGCCCGTCCCTCGTCCCGCTCTGCTATCGGCCGAAGCGAACGGCGCGAAAGTGGATGAGACTTTACGAGGCGTAAATGGAAGCGACACGACCATGCGACGGCGTAACTCCTGCACATCGCCTCCCCCTGCCCATCGCTCGCCCACCCATCACCCAACATTCGCCTGCCCATCTCCCGTCCATCATTCATCCACCCATTACCCAGCCGCCCATTCCGTGGTTCCGCTCAACCATCGTCTGCCCATTACACGTCCGTCCCCTGTCCATCCTCTGCCCATCTCATGTTTTCCATTAAATCCCAGTCCCACTCATGTCCATCTCATGCCCTTCCCATGCCCATCCCATGATCATCCCATTCCCTTACCATGCCCATCCCATGCCTATCCCATTCCCATCCCATGCCCATCCCATGTCCATCCCATGTCCATCCCATGTCCATCCCATGCCCATTCCATGCCCATCACATGCCCATTCCTTGCCCATCCGATGCCCATCCCAGATGACCTTATGTCCATTCCATCCCGAACTCATGCACATTCAATGCTCATCCCATGCACATTCAGTGCCCATCCCATACTCATTCCAAGTCCCATCCATTGCCTTCCCAACACCATCCCCTTTCCGCCGTCAATACATCGCTCACCTAACACCCGATCAGCGCACATCCATCACCTGCCATTCGTCTGACAATCGCCTGCCTCTCACTTTCCCATTAACCTCCCAGGATCCATCACTCCCTTATGGTTTGTCCACTCACTCACCAACCCGTCAATTGTGCCTCTCTCTTCCCCACCCAACCTCCCATTCAAGTGCTCTTCCCTTCCCTGTCCTTCGTGGCCCGTCCGCTCACCCTCATCGCCTGCCCGCCCGCTCGACGTTAAAGGCGCCCGCGTCTTCATTAGGCCGCTGCAGATTTACGGGGCTTTTGCCGCGCGCTGGCGCCGCCGCCGCCGCTCGGGGCTGACGCTTGGAGGAGGCGCCAACACGCGCCGACCGGGCAGCGGCATTGGCGCTAATTGGGCCGTATTTTAACGGAATGGTCCAAAGTGTCTCATTACTCCATGTTGCATTTTATTAATTCGCGGATGATTTTTTCACTTGTAGAGGAAGATATGATCGCAAACACTTTCAATGGCATCGTTATACTAAATTCTAAAATTACGTTAATTTATTCTAACTCATTTTTACACCGTTAAACGATACAAAACTGACTTTCTTTGAAATGTTTTATCGTGTTATAGAATGCTTATAGGCACATTTTAAATTATTGTTATTGTAGTTTAAACGTCATTGTTAGGGTAGTTTTCAAATATTTACATGCTTTGAACTTTTTGAGGTTAAGGAAAAAAATGTACTTCATTGTGAAAAAAAGTGTACTGGACTTCCCAATCAATAGTTACTATTACATATCATACACACATTTTAGATGCGTTAATGAATAGAAATCACGTTACGAGTATCCTATGTTATTCTGAAGCAAAAATGCATATCTCAAAAACAACATCAGTAATAATAATAATAATAATTTTTATTATTATTATTATTATTATTATTGTTATTATTATTATTATTATTATTATTAAATAATCAAATTCATTTTATGAAATTTAAAATGCGAGGCATACTCAAAGCGAAGTCCCTTCCTCCTGTACCTCTGCACACCTATTTCGACGGGCACGTGATTAGCCTCCCTGAGGAGTGAGTGTGGCCGCTCGGCCAACACCTGCACTCCCGCGCGGGAAGCTCCCAATACAGCTTGATTAGAATGTACTTAGAATATTTATCTTTAATCGTAATTTTTGTTCTTTACGTCCTTCTTGAGGTTAGCCGCTTATTCACAGCAAGTCGAAAATTTCTAAACACTACTTAGTATACCTGCGTGCATAGTATGCCTTAGTATGCATGAGTATATGTTGGTCCGTGTGTTAATGTGCTTATGGACAAATGAAGTAGAATAAAGAAATCATGCACCTCACAAAAAGGCTTCGACAATGAATGTCTTTCTGCACTCTATATTTTATTGATGCATGTTTCTCCAACTATTAACCATCCATATCCCTCCCCGGGACGATCTAACTCCACTGACTTGTATTCTGATTTGACGCTCCAGTCGAAGTCAATGAAAAGAAGCGAAACGGGAAGTGGATTCCGCGTCGCCTGTTTCGTCACCCCTCGTTCCGAGGCGACGCGATGGGCTCGTTCGCAGGCTGCGGCGCACACCGGAAGCCGCAAATGTCGCCTTTCGACACAGCTCGTCTTCTTTATTTGTTTACGCACCGCAGGTGACGGCACTTGCTGACGACGAGCCCATTGGCATTCCTGCGAGTAATCCTGGATTTTTTGCTACACGTCGGTAGCGACTTCACAAGAATGTGGGGTGGAGTTGACAAAATAATTTATATCCATGAAAATATTTTAGGTGTATTTCTTTCTTGGTGCAGAAGGTTTTATTGCTACATAATTAAAAAATAAATTTCAAATATTGTTTGTGAAGAAGGAAGTTTTGAAGAACAGATACCGTCAGGGAAATCTGACGGTGAATAAATTTTAATGGAGAGTTTCCGAAATCAAAGGAAAATAAACGAAAAGGCATTTTACAAGGATTTACATTTTATATTCTATAACATAATTTGTTCACTAAAATCTCTTAGATGGCAGTTACTGCAACTGCCATGTGCAAGGGCTGAAGATTCAAATCCAATTACTTCTTTTACCTTGTGACTACAGAATAATACGAAAACCTAAAACCTCTTGTTTTCCCCCTGTACTTCGTTGAAAACACACTGAATTACGCAGAGTTGAGACTAACATTCACTTTTAAAATTACATCATTTATAACCCCGTATGGCCTTTATTCTCCATTTTCCAGGTTATCAAAACTTGGCAATGATTCCATAACTCACATTAAGCTGTAATGTTATCAATGAATTTTCCAAAAATTGCGTGACCTTCTTTATTAAATCAATTTAATAAATTATAAATTCAATTAGTAAACAAAAAATTGCATAGTGAGCTGAAGCCTGCTGTTTATATAGGCATTAATAAATAAATATACTTTATCCCGTTGCGGTAAGCATTAAAAGATTAATAACATGATTATTTGCCGATTTCTATCTTCTGTTCATAGCAACTATCTTGGTGAAGAGCTCATCGGGGTCATAGGAGCGTCTGTCAAGAAACTGAACGTCTCCTACGCTCCTGAAACCGCCGCTACGCAATACGCCCACCGCCATATAAAATCCTGCGTCACCCACATGCGACTTCGCCTTGCGCAAGCACTCGTTCATCACTAGTGCTAAGCGGCGAATCCCGAGGCAGAATGAGGCGCGAAGGTCGCGCGACCCGTGCGACACCTGTACGACGCGACAACCCGGGCCGGCGGGCGGCGCTGCCGTCGCACCCGCACCCGTCGACCTCGACAGTCCGCCTCTGATCGACGACCTGTGGAGCGCGTGAGTCACCTACCGCAAATAGCAGTAGCTGCTTCGCAGGGGAGCTATGGACAGGCCCTCGCGTAGCGATAATATTATTTTATTAGTTCTTATTCTTCCTCCTCTTCATCATCTACTTTTCATCTTTTTCACCATCATCAACATCATATTATTCCCGTTATTCGTCATCATCTTCTTCTTCTTTTTCCTACTAAACCTCATATTTTTCTTCGATGACACTATAGTCACTAACGCACCAGACACTCTGTATTTCGGGGTAGAGTCCCTACACACATAGTAGACCACCGATAGAGATACCACAGTGGCAACATACATTCCTTTGTAGTGACGCTGAAAGGGAGATCCTAGGGACTGAGCGTCGACAGGGATGACATCTCGACACTGGCTACATAGATGGGTCGAGGTCAGCCGATGTTTGGAGAGTTTTAACGGGAAGCTGCTCTGGTCGGTGTTCTGAGTTTTTTCCGATCAACT